CTGCACTGCTCCTCACAAGCAGTGCATTATTAAAGGGCAGAATAGATTTTACTAAGCCTTACCCATAAAAGTGGATATTAAAAGTGGTTCTTACCTGAACAAAATAAAATGGTTTTAAACACTCATTTAAAAAGTATAAATTGTCTGCATGTTTGTAAAGAGAATGTACAGTTTGTGTATACTCAGATGCAATATTTTTGTGTATTTTTTGTAAACCTTTTTTTAAAAAACAACTGAATAAAAGAAACATTTTACAATAACTTCTTACTTTCCCAAATGTTGCCTCAAGTTTCTTTAAAAAACGTAGCAAAATGGGTCTTGGTTCCCAGATTCAATGCCCAGTGCGAAGCAGCTAATATTTGCTTCAGATTCGGCCGATTTGGGGAACAGTGATATGATTCAGTGATTTGAATCACTGTCCCATCAGCTGAAACTGATTTGGAGATTCAGCTTCTGCTGGATCTCTGAATCACCCAGGCCCATTCCCCACCTGCCCCAGCTCCCACCACTTTGGGAAAAAAAGCCCCAACTCACCAGGTGCTGCCAGGTGTGGGGGTAATCCCCACTGACCCACACTGCATGAGGGGCTCTGCCATGAGCCCCTCAAGTCCCCCCCATGGCTGCCCCACCCACCCCAGTTCTAGCTCTTTAAGGGAAAAAAACCCCAAACCCCGAACTCACTGGTTCCCGCTTGGTGGGGGGCAATCCCCGCTGCCCCCCACTGCCGCATGCCACATGGGGGAGCTCCTCTATGAGTTCCCTGAAGCCCTGAGGCTGCTGCAGGAGCTGGTAAGTGCAGGGTTTTTTGGGTTGTTTTTTCTTTCTTAAAGGGCCTGAGCTAGGGCTGGCGGGGCAGCCATGGCAGAGGCTGGGATGGGGGGGGGGGAAATTGGGTGGCTCATGCAGAGGCCCCCATGCAGCGTAGGCCAGTGGGGGAATGGGGATCACCTCCCCCGCCTGGCAGCACCCGGTGAGTGGGGGCTTTTTTTTTAAAGCACCAGGATTTGGGGCAGGCAAGTGAGCCACGGAGAGGCTGGGACAGCAGGCAGGGGATGGGGCCTGACCGGGGTCCCCCCCATGGTACCATCCCCCCTTCTCCAGCCCCTCTCCCCTGCCCCCTACTTACCGGCATGGAATCTGACTCCAGCTCCCTGGTGCAGTAGGCTGGGACTGCTCAAATCATCAAAGCTCTCCACATCTTTTTATTGGTCCCTTGATTCAATTTGGATTTGGAGATTCAACCGCCAAATCTCCTCCAAATCGAATCAGCACCCAAAGCTTCGCACAGCCCTAATGCTCAGGTCTCCCATGCCCTATACTAATAAAAAGTGGTTTGGCAGAAGCACAATTTGACCCTGAGTACCATCATGGATGATGCATAAGTGTTTAGAGTGGGGGGATATAACTCTGTAACAACACTGCCTCTGTTGCTGCCATGTGCTGGCTCTGACCAGGCTCAGCCACATGCCTTACAGTCAGTGCAGAAATCACCCTGCTGTCCCTGCTGCTGCTGGGCCCTGGCTCCAGCTGGGCTGCAGCCCCACCATCAGCACAGAAAGCTGGGAGGACACATGCCCCTGTGCCCCCCTTGCACATCACCATTGGGTAGCACTGATCAGTTTCATACTCTAGAAAAGCAGAAATCATGCCTGCCTACCAGGTGAGTCTAACAGGGAGCATGGGGCTCCCTGTTACTTCAAGATAAAAGCAGCCCAGCCAGGGAGCTCTGCAGGCTAAGCAGGGGGCAACAGGGCTAACAGGGTTATTAGCAGGCACCTGCAGATAGTCAGCTTACTGGATGTAGGCAGGGCCCTGGGAGCTTATAAATAGGGCCCTGAGAAAATCACGATTTTGTGGACTGCAAGAGGAAACCTGGGCTTTTGCAGCTCCAACCTGCAAGCGGCTGCTGGGGTCAGAATGCAGTCGGGCAGAGTCGTGGGAGCAGCCCCAGCAGCCAAATGAAGGTAAGTGTATGTGGAGCAGAGGAGGGGAAGGGGTTTGGAGGGCCAGGACTTGGGGACTGTTGGGGCGGGGAGCAGAGTGGTGTGTGTGCCTACTGCATGTGCATGGGTAAAATATCATTTATCATGGAATATTCACAGAACTACTAGGATCCATTTGCTAAGATCAATGGTAGTCCCATTACTATTCCATTAAAAATGATACTTTACCCATGCACATGCTGCATATTTCTACAAGAAACCCATGACTTTCTCAGGGCCCTACTTATAAGCCCAAGGCTGAGGCTGGCTTGGGGAAGTCTCTCCCTGGCTGCCACAAGGGAAGGACCCCCTGCCCAGGGGAGTCCCCCAAGGATGCTGGGCTGACCATTTGCTGCTCACAGGAACCAGGAGGCTCAGGGAACTTGCAAGGTACCCTGACCAGGAGGCATGCTGTTTTAGGGGTAAAGTTTTGCCCTCTCAAAGGGACAGAAGGCTGCTACTTTGTTGCTATTATTATGTTATACCCCAGGGGTTTATGTTATGATTTGAACCAGTGGTTGGGATAAGTCTGAAAGGGGAGGTATGGAGGCCTCTTTAGTGCCCAGGGGGCACTCGACTGCCTTGAGTCCTGCCAGGGACAGGCTTGAGGCTCAAGCAGATATTGAGCCCAGAGCAGACAGAGAGAGAAGGCACAGCCAGGCAGGGGCCTGGGGCCTGGTACCAGAGAGGGTTGCAGCCAGACAGGGGTCAGGGGCCCAGCAGTCAGAGGCCAGGGGCCCAGTTACCGAGCCCCAAAGTCAGATCCAATTCAGTGGGCCCAGGCTAGAAGGCCTAGCAAGATGAAAGGGCCAAATGCTGAGGAGGCCGAAGCCCTACACAGGGAACAACATTGCAGTAACATCCATGAGGCATGGGTGTGGTAAAGGAGAGGATTTGGAGCTATGCAAGTAGTCCTTAAGGCTTTGGGTGCCCTGCCAGGCACGGTTGACTTTAGAAGCCCAGCAAGGGACCTGGGCACAGGCAGAGACCGGAGTGGTCCAGTGGGGCAGGCCTAGCAAAGGCCTGTGGGCAGCCTCCCTATATATTAAACATAACAGCAAGGCACGGCAAGGGAGACGGGAAGGTGCCCTAGGGGTAGGGCATGGTCACAGAGCCACCAGGGGGCATCACAGCCATGGCCACCCCTGGAAACACGATGTGTTACGTGAGATTTTCCAATGTCAGATGACAAGTAGCCCAGAACACTGAGAGAAAAGACAACAACTGGAGTGCTTCGATACTTCCTGCGTTTAGGCAGCCACCAAAGTTCAGGTGTCAATATTTCAAGATATGTTGCTTTAAACTTTTCGTGCATATTGCCGTCCTTCTGTGGGGTAACTCTGTACCCTGTAGGAAATGCTGCAAGATTTAAAAAATGTATTTATGGCACAGAAGGTTAGGAATTGAGAGCGACTGACTGCTTCCATTAGGGGGAGAGCTTATGTCAATAAACTGCAACAGAACAAGGGTAGGGGAAAAAGCTTTCTATAAGCATGTTTCCTTGGGTGGAGGCAGACGAAACATTTACAGTGAGGTAAAAAAAGTAGCAGACAAACATAGCAGATGTCTAAACTAGGAAAACTTCACCCACTCCAATGGAGTATTTTTCTGTGCAAGAATCAGGCAAAATTCTAGGGATGTAACTTATAGTGGGTTATGTTTTGTGTATCCACTTCCATCCTGGGGTATTCATTTCCTAAATGCAAATAAGGCTATTATTGCTTCCCTGCCATCTAGTAATAATACCTGTAATAATATCTGTCACGTGGGAGACCTCAACATCTGTCTGGGCCTGGCCCCACAACTTGTTTGCACCAGTATATCCTGCCTTTAGACCAGTGTAAACAAGGAGAAGATAAACCTGCGTAAGTCAGTAAAACCCAGCTAAGAGTTGCCCCTAAAAAAAAAATCAGTGGTAAAACTGTAATGATGCAAGTTATATCCATGTGTCATGTGTACACTTAATTCTGCTGCTTGCTCAAAACAAACATGCAGTTACTGGCTCCCTCATCCAGGCACTGTAAAGCACAGCTAAAGCAGCAACCAGCCAGAGTGAGCAGATTTTCCATCCACTCCAGACACTGATCTAAGTTGTGCAAGTGTTACTATGTTGTATGTTCAAAACCCTCAGTTTAGACCCCACTGTAACTTATATTGATGTACAAAACCAATGTAAATTACACCAAATGAATATCGGTCTAAATCCTTTCCAAATCAAGGAAGCAGAATGTCAGCCTGCCCCACCTTTAGCTGTCAAGGAGACTGACTTATTGAAGGCTGAGATAAATACAAGTGAAATACATACTTGGCAGCCTACTGGGGATAATAATACTAACATTTATAATTGCAGTGTACAGGAAGTCTGAAAAAATACGTTAAGTTCTGTTTTAGTGGCAATGCTTTTGCTGTGCATCAGCCTTTCTCAGCAGCTGATTTTGCTGGACACACAGTTGTATTTTCAAGAAATGGGATGGTTTAGCTTTTAGTCCTCATTAGAATAAGAGAAAGCAAGTATAACAGATGCCTGTGATACTATGCTTGCCTCTCACCGGCATATGCTAATACACATCAGTCCTGGCCTGTGTCATTTCTGCTGTTTCAGTCTGGAGATTATTAATAACCCGTTGTTCATGCAATTGTATTCATATTTGTATGTAATGCCTCATTAGCAATGTGTAAGGGATGCATGCAAGTGCACGTGCACCCCCTGAGAACAGCCATGCACCTCCTAGAAGCACCAGCCATAAAACTGGAAGTGCCAGTGGAAGTGCACTTCTGATTTCGCTACTGGGTTAGTGATCAGCCACTAGGGGACCCTTCCCCAGTCGGCGATCAGCCACTGGGGGGTCAGGTGCTCCCCCCCCCCGGACTTGGGAGGCACCACTTGCCCATGTAATGCATTCTTGCCTTCCATAAAAAACAGTTTTCAATAGTTTGCTAAGGCTTGGATGGAAAAGGAATTTGCTAGAATATGTGCTAAATTCCATTATGTAAATTACTCAAACAAGTTCATTTGCACACTTTTTACCCGAAAGAGATCACTCTTTAATGTATTGCTTATGTGCACATAAGAACCTGAACGTAAACAATCCACAAAATATCCTGTGTAAGATGATTAATCTTCCTGATTTACATTAGATTTTCTCCTGCTGGCCTACTACAAGGTTCACAATTTGAAAATCTTACAAAACAATCCTTTTCCTTTTCTGTATGACTGATCTAAAAATAACTCATCTTTATGTCATTTCAGGATACATGCCAATGGTAGAACTGACCCTCTGAACTGTTGGCCAGTAAAGTGATGTATTTTACACTTGATGAACAGTAAATAGAGATTTTCCATTTGGGTGACACAGTATTCAAAAGTTTATCAAATCTAAGTAATAGCTTTGTTTCTAGTAATAAGAGAATCCATTTTAATACATGTCCATAAAGTCCATCTAGAGTTCCTTAGGGAAGCCTGGTGCCACACGCAAACCATAGCAGTTAGAGTATCCACCCACATCCAGTGGTCATGGAAAAGTCACAGACAAAACATCCTGATGCAAACTCCTCAGGTTGTCCCATGCTGCCTCTTGCATATTCCTCCAGTTTTGAACACTCCAGGCCATAGTTTCTTTTTCCCAACTTGCTCCACAATTCTGGTCCTAGCGTGTTCTCAAGTGTGCAACAAATCTATTTGAAAGAAAACAACATCATTATACACACAAACTAACCTTTTATTCTCCAACGGCAACACTAAATAAATGATACACAACAGCAAGCAAAAAGCATCCTGAATTAACCATATCTGAGGACATTTATACTTTTCCTTAATGCTGAAACTATCATTAGTGAGTACCAGACAAGTAATGGTCTGAACCAATTCAAGTAAGTCAGTGTAACATTTTCTACTGATGTCAGAGATCTGGGCTGGACCTTTAGTGTAATTATAACACTTATGCATGACCAGAGTTCATAGGAAACAAATCCTAGTTCTACAGTAATTTGAACTGGAATTGTTTTCTGAGAATCAACATAAAAGCATGCGTAACATTTTACTTTACAAAAAAAAGTTGTTGGCTGGTACCAGTGCAATCACCACTGTACAATAAACAAGGCCTTACTTACAAGATCTTGGCAAAATGTACTAATTCTTGGTTGTTTCATAGCATTCAGTGCTGTTTGAAGCAGCCAGGCTTATCTTTGACAGCATGTGTAACCCTGCTGCATTCATGTGATCTAACTTTCTTCATGCACTAAAATGTTTTATTACTGGGTGTCAATAATATTTAGATACTGTCATATGTCTTCAATAACCATCTTTCCTTTGCAATCCTAGCCATGAAGACTAAAAGAAAAGAGTGTAAGTGCATACTTTAAAGCAAAGTCCTATCAACCTGACATACAGCAGGTGAGGTACAGCATATGCCTATATGTGGGCCTGACTTTTTCTGGAACTATGAAATTAGTAAGCAGTTAATACTTGCACCAATATTTGTGTCAATACAACCTGAAAATAACTGCGTTATTCTTGTTTCTCCAGTAACTTATCCTTATACCTTATAGTTGCATTTGCTGCATCAGGATACCATTCTACAGCATGAAAGTGATTTCTTAAGTTACTGAGTCTGAATTTCACAAACTACTAAGTCTCAGAAAAGCTGTAGCCATTGGAAAACTTAGATTCCTGGTTTTACTCATATCCACAACCACTTGTCTGGCAACTGAAGTACTTTCATGTGTGATTATTATAATTTTAAACAGAAAGTGGCGTCTACATACAACTGGAACAGAAGGACTATCTCAAGATGTAAAATGTCATTAGAGAAATTGGAATCTGACTAGACTCTGAGGACTAATAGCCCTGCTCCTGGGAAAGGTGCTGCAGGATGGCTACGATGCTTATTTGATATTTAATTAAAGAGACAGAAGTGTCACAGTCTTACTATTGCTCTGGGGGTTGGGTTCAGAATGTGTTCAAAAGAATTTAATGGCCAGTCTCTTTCTTCTCAGGTCCTTGTCATAAACTAGACTTTTTTTCTGGAAGCGTGCACAAGTGATAGCTCTTTCTGCTGCTGCAGTAAGGTCCTCCTTCATACAGATCTCCTCAAGGAGCTGGCAACCAAGCAGGTGCTTCATAGTCTGTACTTCACCACACTCGCATATATTTGTATTATTAGAGTAGCCCCATTTGATAATGTTAGTTTTTGACATTTCAGTTTTTTTGTGTGCAGGCAATTCAGCCATTGCTATGTTGGCCAGTCTAAATCAGTCCTTCTAGGAAGGTCCTCCTGGGGTTCTGGGTCCATTTCAGAGCATCTGATTGCGTGTAAGCTTTCCTTCCATAACCCCAGTCGCACCCTATCAGCTGTGATGTCCAATGGTACAACATTGGTCACAAAATTCTTTTGCACTTTAAGACTTTTAGTTACTTCTGTGTGACCATAGAGTGGATGCCTAGGGTCTTCCATCTGCTGTAATCTTTCTTTTTGGCTTGCTACCTTTCTTCTGATATCAGGT